CCTACTTCTTCAGACAATACATAATCAACTTATAATTAACAGAATAACTTTGATGTTCATCTAAAGGTATGTTCAATAGTATAGAAATATCGTACAACGAACTATCGATAGTAATATTATTCTTCTTGTTAAAGTTATCGAATGAAATTCATCTGTTATTTCAATTTTAAATGATCTAACTTTAGATAAGTTTATGAATATCAAAAATGTAGCTCATTTTGAAAAAAAAATCAAACAAACAAATTTCTGTTTTTCATAATTCTATCAACTAATATAAACAAATGAAATGATTATCACAATTAAAAGATTTAGTTTATAACGTTTTCTATCATTTTTTTTTTCTAAGAGATTGATTTGAACCATTATAAAACTGAATAGCTGTAAACAAATAGTTTATGATTATTTAAAAATAAACAAAACAAACAATCATTAAGTGTAAACATATGGTAACACAATATAATGAAGTTATGATACACATTCATTTATACTCACAGTCCTATAGTCAAACTCATATATTACACTAACGCACATAGTTTAACTCAATCATAAGTAAACATAACAATAAAGAAAGACCGAGAGAGAGAAAGAGAGAAAAAATCATTTAAAGAAAGATAAATGATATGGTAAACACACATATAACTTTATTTTTTCTCTAACTACAAATAAGAATAGTATTTGTGTTCATTTACTTGTCAGCCTAATATATAAAATAGCTATGCTATAATAAAAACCAATTTTCGGAATAGCTCTTTTTTTCTTTTTTTTCTTCTTCTCATCTAATCAGGTGAATTGAAGCTAATTTACTAAACATGAATCTACGAATGAAAATAGTGATATGATTAAGTACTTAAAATTATGAATGGTATAAAAGTACTAAATGTTCAGGTATAATACTTCATTGTGTTTATATTCATAAATTAAGTTAAATGGGAGAACGTAAAGCTGTCATTAAAAATGCTGATATGCATGAAGATATGCAAGAGACTGCTGTACATACAGCTGCTGCTGCACTTGACAAATATGAAATTGAAAAAGATGTTGCTGCTTATATAAAAAAAGAATTTGATAGAAAATATAATCCAAATTGGCATTGTATTGTTGGAAAACATTTTGGCAGGTAAGCACCATGAATAAAAAACATTTATCTTTATGTTAATATCCTTTCATTTTGAAGTATAATTAATATATAATGTCTATTATCAGATATAGTGGATTCGGTAATTTAAGAAACATAACTAATTAGATGTAAACCAACAAACGCCTATATTTTATAACATTATCTTTCATTTTTATTCTATGTTATGTTAGTTTAGGTTGATAAGGATGGTAGGATGATATACAAATGTTTACCTTTTATTGATTTATTAAATACATAATATTTTAATATCTTTCCTTTTTTGTAATTCTAATTTTAGTTATGTAACACATGAAACACAACATTTCATCTATTTCTATTTACAAGAACGAGCTTTCCTCCTTTTCAAATCCGGTTAGAAGATATCAGTGATAAATCGAAACAAAGAAAACAACATTTAGTTTATTTCAATTGTACACTAGTTAGCATACATTTATGTTTAAATGATAGTCTAAATGGTATAATTTAATCTCTTTTCTTTTAACAACAACGACAACAACAACAACAAAAAGAAAGTACAATGGCATTTTTGTACTGTTATGTCAAAACATTTTTTTCAATTTGTTTAAAAAACAATGAATAAATAAATTTGTTACTATAATTTTTGATCAAATCATGACTTTTTAATTAGCTATACTGAGTTTATTTTCAATCTGTTCAGTGAATAGACCATCTTGGAGTTAAAAAAACCCAATATCATTATTATGTTAACATGATTTATAGTTGCACAACTTCGTGCATTGGTTAAAATTAGATATTAACACCGTTGGATGCCTGTTCAGTGGTCTAGAGATTAAGTGTTGGTGCACGAGGCTGATAGGTCTTGGGTTCAAATCTCACCAGGCCGGATTGTGGATGCGCACTGCTGAGGGGTCGCATGCTAGGACGAAACAGGTGTCCAGTGCTTCCAGGTTTCCCATGGTGGTCTTGCTTTAGTTTATTCATGAACTCAACTATTAAACTAGAAAATACCCAGAATTTCAACGAATAAATAGAAAACAAAAAGCGAACACAAAAAACACAATGCAAACAATTTTCTGTTGTTAATGTTCTGATCATTTAGGAGTAAATAAACTTGTTTTAACAATGCTTCAATTGACTGATGAATTCATCTATTGAATAAGTATCTGATGATTCATTCGTCAAACGATTAAGTAACAAGAAAATATGAAACTTATTATAAAGTCGTAGATTGAATTTAAGCATTATTTATTATTTATTCTCAAGTTATCAATAATTGTTATATATTATTCAGAAAATAAAAAGAGAGATCTTCAATAGATATGTATGAACTTTGGCGACTTGCTTGAACATCTAAGCTACCCGTTCTTGCCATCTGGATATTTCAACAAGTTATCTGTTTTTTGTTTGTTGCAATACATCATTATGGCTATTAATCGCATAACCTATTCAGGTGCGCTTCTGAAAAGTATACAACCTTTCGTTGTACAAGTTACAAAAAGCCCAATCAGTGATATCGTGGTTGCCGTCAATATGCAGCGAAAAGAATGTACATTATTTAGATGTCGATTTACTGGACTGCTAACTTCGTCAGCTACGACCAAGAAGTAAGAAACGGAAACTTGTTGAAATGCTTTGTGCTGAGAATTACATATTGTATCAAAGATATAATATGAATAAAGCTAAAAATAAAAACTAATGGTCTCATCTATTTCAGTTAATGTTTGACACGTAATAAATTATTTATATTCAAATATATCAGTAATCAGCTCACTGAATCAATTTACCAACACAGACTCGTGTAATAGACATAAATCTGGATAATGTTTTACTATAAGTGTAACCGATGTTCACGGAAGTTTATAATTGCACCTCAAAACACAAAACGAGAATTGCAATCAGTCTTTTTTTAATTCTTCATACTTGTTCTCTTTTAGCTTTTATTCAGCTCCCAATCGTTTATTACTTGCTCACTAATTTTAATTGAATGAATCGATTCTAATCTTGTCGTTTTATTTTGTGCTTAATTTGTTATGTAATAAATCGATAATGCCGATTTGTTCACATGTCTACAAACTTGGTACACTTTGGTAAATATAATACAAATATTAAGTTATATAAAATCCATAAAAACGTGAATGAATGAAGTTAATTATTCTAGATCGCTAGGTTAACAGCACTCAAATTGTGGTTATTATTTAATTTAACAATTACAAATCAAATTACTGCTATTTTAAGTTCAGATAAACATAAAGGCTCAATATAAATTATGTGTAAATTACTTATAAGAGACTAATTGATTGTAGTCCTAAACTTCAATTGGAAGATTTAAACAATCAGTACGAGAGCAATATCCGTTTTTTGCCAATAATAATTCATTATAAAAGATCAGGTATTTGTCAGACAAGTGATTGTAAACGGATTCTATTTTCGCTAAGAGTTAGATTAACGGGAAGAGAGAACTACATGTCCAGTTCAAAAGCGTCCGTAGCTAATGCATGTCACCTCTCAATTGGTAAAGTATGTATGACATGGTTTGATTACAATCATATGGTAGACAAATAAACAAATAAATCAAGAGCTCAACCCTTGGTTAAAGTAGCTTCTGAAAATTTGCGGAGGTTAGGGCTTGGCTGTATGTTAATCATTTCGAAGGATGTTGTAATAACTACAAGATATCCTGCATCCAGGAAACTGAACATTCTAGATGTTTATTCTTCCTCGGCGTAGGCTTTCCAGAACAAGTTCGACAATTGTTAATTTACTCATTTGTTCGGCAGTGTGAATATCACATCAGTTATTATCTATTAGACACTGTTTCAACAGAAAACGTGTTAGACTACTGAGGCATAACAAAAAAACATTTAGAATCTTATCTAGCCAGTATAACTTGCACCATATTGTTTGATTGATATGATTATACACAAACTCATTAATTTGTAAGGAGATTCGTTTTTATTTTGATATTGTGGGATAGAAAGATGGCATTATTTTTTGTATCATTCCGGTATAAACTTTGATTTAATGCTAAACGTGTACTCTCGTTCAATCTGACGATTTTATTTCCTTTATAAATTCAAGTCTCACAAGACGTAGAAAAATTTATTATTTTTCAATCGCTTTTATTCTGTTTATTTGTAATTAAAAATCAAATCTTATAATAAGCCCAACCATTTCGGTTTAAACATCCTCTCAGTTATCTATGATTCTTTCGTATATTCAGTAGGCGACGAAACTGTGATTTAACACTATGGTTGATATACAAATAACATTTATCAAATTTGTGTCCTTTACAATTTAGACACTTATAACGACTTATTAAATAAGTAATCTGTCCTATCACAAAACAATCTCCATTTACCTCTTTGTTGTTGTCCAAAAAGATCATAAAATGTAAATGATACCAAATAAATGATAGTTTGTAGTTACAAGAAGAGTATGTCCTTTTACTGACTCTGATTAAAAAAAGACATTTCTAATTTGAAATCCTATTCCGTGATGTATCTTTCCAGAAATTTCTGAATAAGGAACTGAATAGATATCGAAAATTATGAGGATTTATAACTGTTGTCTAATCAAAATACAGATTTTCCGAAGTAGATAATTGAGTATATATACATTATTGCAAAACATGTTGGATATAAATACACCCAGTCGATTACCTTCTTTATTAAAAGGCTTAAATAATAGGATATTTTTTTAAACAATTTGTAAATAACAGGTTAGACCGAAATTATTTTTTAAAAGCTTGAATCATTGTAAAGTAGGTAAACATCTGTACCGATATTGATCTAAATTTGCTGCATAGATATACATGAAACTACCGTAAGAAAGTATCAATGAAATTACATACACTGAATTCATCTTGTACCTACTTCATTAACAAACATAATGATTTCAAAAGTTAATTATTTAAATATGTATTCCATGTTATTACAGTATATTAGTTACACGTTATGTCAGATGGAATAAAATCAACATGAGAAAAGTTCAATGCTTTTTTTGTATATTAATATTCAACAAAACTGAATGATAAAGTAAAATGTACTGAAAATATGCTAATGTGAATTTAGTTTATGGTTTATTGTTTCGGGCTAGTTGAATTTTGAGTTGTTGTCCCGTCTATTACTCCATCGATCCATCCTCTAAAATATGCAACTCTTGTGAATAAACCTGGATAAAGCTCAGGTGCCGTAGCGTGTGTAGCTGAAGCTACACCAACAACGTAGTTTTTATCATCTTTCTTATAAACCAAACCACTCCCGCTATCACCCTAAAAAAGCAGAAGGAAATTCGCCTTATTTAATTACTTAAATGATATAAGCTTCTTAATTAAGCCCGTTCAAATAAATAATATACTTCATACAATAATATTCGTTTCATCACCTACGATCATAAAAAACATATGCCACTCCAATAAGTTAACGCTAGTTGATTTAATAATGATCTTGTTGAATTCCTATAAAAGTTGTAACGCATCTTGAAATAACCTTGATTCCCATTAACACAACTGAACACTGAATAATTACTTTGCCTAGTTTAAACTTGGTAACAGTTGAGGTTGACTATAATTCAACGATAACTTTAAATGATGGCTATATTACATGACGGGTAAAATGGAGTTGAAAAAGTGGACTATTTAGTTATGACATGTAAGGTTATATTAATTCCCCCCAAAATCCTAAGTAATAAATTTGATCACATTTTACTATACATATGTGAACTACCAAGTATTTTTAACACATTTACCCACTTATACTAATAACTCGTGATTTTAGTGGTTCTTAAGTTGATATGTAGTGGTTACATAATGTAAATTTATCAAGAACAAGAGTAACTTGACCAATGTTTGAGTATATGCTACTTAAGTGAACAATCTTTGACCAAGGAAAATTATGAAGAATTAATCTTTCTATTGAGACGGTGGAGAGGATTTGTAGCTCAGGTGGAGTTTGTGCTGGTAATGTCGTTCAAAAGAACGATGAAAGCTCCACGACCAAACCATCCGGCTCAGAGAACAAAACTCCACCAAAATTAATCTTTCTATTTCTAATTTAATTTGGGTTTATTTTATTCCTAAACGGCTTCGGGAAAAATATTTACATAAGATACGTAGCACTTTATATTATTCAAAAGCTTACCTAACTTTGTCACAATATAAACTAAACATTTGCTTGCTAATCATATGCTTTGGTGGTTTCGCTTCATTTCATCAGCATATATAACTGTAAAGTACAGTACAGTGAAACTATTCTTAGTGATTGTTATATACATGTTTCATAAAGTTTGCAAATACTGATGAAGGTGAACTTTTAAGTGTTGATATACATTCATTTGTAAAAATAATCCATTAATGTTACAAGTAAGGTCATTTTTAGTAATTTCTTGAATTGATATTCCATTTCAACTTGGAAAAGATAAAGAGATGTTTTTACTGAGGGCTGGACACTTCAATTTTAGTTCATTCTTTAAGTATTTCACAATAGATTTCCTGTGATCTACATTTTTCACAAGTCTATCCCTATCAATATTAGTTGTTTCAAATGTAGGCTTCTCGCAGCTAGCGAAAAATATCGAAACGTAACAGATTTTATTTATTCTTTAAATTTCGTTATTCGTGCTCTGATCAGTAATACCATTGGGAGATGATGTATAAATATTTGAACATCATCATGATGGCATTATTAGTTTTGTTATTCTGATCTTGAATTTGCTTAGGGACATAATACTAATCTCTATCTCATTTGTAAAGTTACATTATAAAATCCGTCTTACAAAATACAATTTAATCGAATAGGAAACTTCTGAATCAGTAATTCTCGTAGAAACAGTCGTGACTAGATGTATGCGAATTTCCAAACATACCGACTGAAACTAGACTTCCATAGTCACAAAAATTATTTTGCAATTCAAGTTGAAGAACAAATATTAGTTATAGGGCTTACTGAGCATATTCCTACTCGTCCTTGGTAATAACCAGCGCAAAACTCATGTTGATCGTTTAAGCCTGCTGCATTGCCATACATAAGCGAACAGTCCTGATTTTTTAGTGTTAACAAATGAACAGCTTGAGCTTGTGCTGATGGTTTACCATTTTTTACACGGCAACCCCATCCGACAAATATGCAATCAGCATGATCAGGTGGCCAAGCAAGATAATTTTCACCAGGTGGTAATTCAGCAGGTTGAACCCCTGGATCTTCCGACGGCAAGGGTGTTTCTAATTCGAGCAAAGCTAGATCATATTCTAGATCGTCTGAAAAGACAATTAAGTATAGAGTATAAATTTACCATTACTGTCAATCTTTATGATTATAGCCATTATTAAACTTATGATCTGGTTCAAGTGATAAAGGCCAAGTTACAGAGATACAAAATTCTTGGAATTTCATACTCTTACTTATGAATGGCTGTTCAAATGAAAATAACTAGGCTTATAAAGGAACATTCTCCATGTAATGGTAAATTTTGTGTAAAATTAATGAGTTATTGATGCTGCATAAAAACGTCAATATTTCACTATATATATACTTTATCTAGCGAAATTCGCTTAACAATTTTACTTAGCAAAATTCGCCTTTCTTCACTAACTATTCACCATAGGCTTACTTTCTCAATAATGATCATGTGCAAACTTCTACTCCACGGAGAACATCTTACCTTGGTGTTAGTCATATAAAAATATAATTACGTAAACACCAAATCCAGATGAATAAAAAGATAACAGAAAAAATAACAACCATGGAAACATATCGTGTAAATATCTTTATCGACAAATTTCATAAATTGACTTTTTCGTCTTAAAAGCAAAATTCAGTTACATAAAAACTGCGGTTTGAACTTAAAAATACTTTTCAAACTATTTATCCGTAAAAGCAACCACTTTTACCCATTAAAATCTAAATTCCACTTATATAAAGTAATGACCTATGTCAAACGATATGATTAAACAGATTTCCACCTATAGATATGTATACGGTTGCAATTTGTCAGTATCTTTGAGCATAACTTTATTTATAAAAAATTTCATCCTTTATATTTTGATTTAGGCAAAATGATCATCAAAGTTGATACTTTACATCGATTTTCTTCATAATGTCGGCACACCTTTTTAGATAGTTAAGATATTACCAAGATAAATAAAGTTTAGTATCAAAAGAACATCATCCTGACTATCAGATACAGACATCAAAGGAATGAAGAGAACTTGGCAACAGTTGAATGGGAGAGCACAAGATATAATAGGGTGGAGATAGCTGGTTATCAGCCTATACTAAACGAAAGATAACAAGCAAGTAACTAAAGTTGAGATTAAAACACAATTTGAAATGTCTTGAAAACACCATACAAAATAATAAATAATTTTTATTGATTTTAGAAAACAGAGTAGTTTGTTTATTATTTATCATTTTTTGCAATGCTTACCTGGTCTATAACTTGGATGAAGTATAATTTGTTTTACATGTGTATGCCAAACAGCTCCTTGTTTGTCTTTTGAACTACTACTAAATTATGATGCAAAAATGTGAAATTTTAGAGGGAATGATTTCAAATATTGTAAACTATTCATATGTACAATGTAAAAGTCTGTTTCAGAATTTACCATATCGCATATCTATTGATTTATATACATTCATTAAATGTTTGTTGACATAACAACAAAGCACTAAAATGTTTTAAGCGATAACTGACTAAAGTGTAATAAAATCTCGATGCAAATTATTTAGATGCTTGAGAACCACCTCATTGATTATCAGATAAACGTTTTACTTAGTGGGATATATTTTACAATGGGATATATTTGTCCATTGATACTCAAGTTTTATTTGTATGTTTATTTGCTTGTTCATTTAACAAGGCATAGCAACACACTAACTAAAAATGCCAACGGTGTTATAATTATTTAATTGATCGCTTTTTACTACTGATATGTTCGACAAAGATATATGGATTTCTGGAAAAAAACTAACATTTTATTTTTAAATATAAATTTACATATGGGTAAACTATAATCAAACAAAGTAAACTCCATGTTTGTCAAATGGTCAGAAAAAAGTGAGTGAATTATACAGGGAAAAAAATACATTTATTATGTAAGAAAAAAAACAAGTCAAATGAAATTGATTAAATAGTATTAATTTATTCAAGAATTTCATACTACTTTCACTACTGATAAATGTAAATAAAGTGAGACTACATGATCGTAGCAGAATAATTTAGTTATGCGGTTAGAGAATAATTCAGTTATTGTCGGAATTAAATTTTAGTAGTTTAGTGATTGAATTCATGAGTCTATTTAAGTTAGACAACCAGTGAAAACCCGAAAGCACTGGACAGCCGTTTTGTCCTAGTACTGGACTTTCTAACAGTGTGCACCCACGAACCCGCACGCGGAACTCGAATCCAGGACCTTCGGTCACGCGCGTGAACGCTTAACATCTAGACCACTGAGCTGGCACCCAACGGTGTTAATGTCTGAATTCAGACAATTCATGATGTTTTGCGACTGTCCACCATTGTATTCAGTGAGTAACTGCCTCATGACAGACACTTACTCAAATTAACTCGTAAATTTAACCATTAAATAATTAAATTGGTTTGATATACGAGATAGTTCTTCACTTTCTTTCCCGCTATAAACTCATATAATTATCAAACCAAACGAATGTATAACTCAAGTGATTTCGTCGAAAAAAGATAAGCATATTTCTCTTTAACTCCTAGATCTTTACGTAACCTTCTTCATTATTATTACAGTTGTTACTAACACTGCTATTCGCCCATAGACATAAATACATAAACATTCACCGCATTTATGTTATCTTAATATTTTCATATCATTTTGCACATAACGTTGTCTTCTACCAAACATTCGATCTGATTTGTAATTACCATATTATTTCTCTCACTCTATTTTATCTGTATTTATTCTGAATATTAATTCTACAGCTTCATTTCAGCGAATACAAGATAACACTGTATATTAGTCATTTTACCACTAACGATTTTATTTTATTTTACTAATAATCCCTAATTTTAATGTTGTAATTTAAAACAATGACATTTACTTTAAACATGACTTCAAACAATTAGTCCCTTTGATTAATTTCGATAATGTAATAAGAAGACGAAGATTATCAGAACTATGTGATATATTAGCGCAATACATTTCGAACAATGTGGTCACACATATACTTGTTAAGAGCATTTATATATAAAAATAAAAGGTAAACTGGACAGGAAACGGGGTAAGAGGAGATAAGGATAATGATAAGAGTAATAATAATAATAATGTGAACACAATTTGAAACATAATCACTCTGCATAATAAGCCAATATTACCAGGGTAGGTTTAAGGTAAAAACGAACTGTTTTTGAACACACAAAGGGGGTTTGAATTTTCGTATGGCTAAGGCTTCGATAAACCTTAGAATGCGCTGGATTTACTTAAAATTCATTCGCTGAGATTGTACAAATATATATTATTCCTCTTTAATGACTCACATTAACTCGGCGCCCAAATATTGTGAAACTATTCGTTCAAATTTAGATGAAAGTTCTTACTTAGTATACGCCCTTTTACACTTTTATAAAACGCCACAAAAGCCGAGTTTAGATCTATCTCATGACCTGTTTCAATTATATGTTTAGCAAAAGAGGATGATGGATGTTTATCCTCTGCTCTTATTGGGTCACTTGATTGTATTTGTTTCTGCAGCCATTTGGGTACATGTTCACTCACCCTTATGTTTAGATCACGATTGCTCCTCCCTATGTATGTGTGACCACACACACATTTAAATTGGTAAACACAGTGGGAGGTGACACAATCGTTTTCATGTCTTCTACGTTTTGGATGAAACATGCACCTTGTTCTTTCTTTGATAATGAACTTGGCTGCACAATACGTTTTAATGATGACTGATTTAAGTCTTTGTTTCAATAAAAGGCTATTTGAATCACCTCTGATGTGATGTAGACAGGCTTTTTCTCTACCGAGGCTACAGTAGGTCTCGCTGTACCATGGACTTTCCATCTATGTATGAATTTCAGAGGATAGCCATTTTCTATTAATGTTTTATTTAGTAACTTAACATCATCATCAATAGAGTCATTTGTACAAATACGATCGAGCCTGTGCGATCAGATTGTTCGAAATGTATTGCGCTAATATATCACATAGTTCTGATAATCTTCGTCTTCTTATTACATTATCGAAATTAAACATGACTGTAGTTTTCGTGTTCAAATACATTCTATTGTCCCTAATAATGTTCTCATTCACTACAGTATAACTGCAGAAAATGAGGAGAATTCGTTGTAAGCAATATTTCAGATTCATATATCTGCGTTTTGATATGGTGAGAAATTTCTAAACAATAAATTATTTCATGATGGGACTTGGATAATTAGTAAATCACATTGAAGTACATAGAAGCTTATCATATTAGAGACTGTAAGAATAAATAGTACTTTTCTTTCAGATCGTCAATTAATTGATTAAATACGATCTCATACTACTTAAAGAGATGATAAACAGTTCAAGCATTAAAAGCATAAATATATATGATGAGAATATTGCTCATTAGTTAAACGTTAGTTTATAATTACAATGAATACTTGCTATTAAGGAATTCTTCCTTATTGCTCATCAAAAAAAAGATAAGGATAGATGAAATTGGTGTACATATTTACATTGTCCTAGAAACAAAGATAACTATTTGATAGAATTAGGTAAATAAAACATTAAAACCAGCTATACAAATACTTTAAATCTCTCAATTCACTTCTAGATATGTGTATATACACAGTAGTTTGGACATTACAGTTTATAATAAAATGAAATACGCATGCAATAACATCATTTCAATAAGACATTTTCTTTAAAAATGATAGATGAATTTAACGTACCTGGAGAAAATATCAATTAACCTTTTGATTAAAGTAGCTACAATAGTTTGACGTCCACTTGTACCTGGTTTTAATACATGGCCTCTATATCCATGTTCTTCACCTAACTAAAAATAGAATTAATTATATTATTTAACTATATTCTATTAATCTGTACAAATAAACGTATAAAAATTCCCGATGATTTATAGATTTTATCTTTGACTCTCTGGGACCTATTATCATTTATTTGATGAATCTCAGTTTTCTAGGAAACGTATTTTGATCAGTACAGAATTAAATAAATCATCACTAAGTAATTACGGAATAGTTTCAAATAAATATCATTGAAATGAATAAAAAATAGTATACAAAGATACCTAACACTTGTGGTCGAATGAATCTCAACCTATGTCAAATAGCAAACTATCCTATAGACAGTTCATGGTTAACATGTAAACACTATATTTTGTGAGATTTCTTTGCAAGGAAATCTTGGGAAAACTTTTTAACAAAATATGAGAAAAAAACAACTTTCGATAATGATATTAGAAGACGAAGATTATCAGAACTATGTGATATATTAGCGCAATACATTTCGAACAAAAAACAACTGCAGAACTGTATAATTGTTCAAATAGCTCAGAGATGACTGTAAACACATTTGTAAGAAAGGTGATTAGCTATAAAGCGACTTAGAATATTTTATATTCATTAAAACAGATCACTACACATCTTCAACTAAATAAATAATGCTTACATTATTTGATTCCTATCTTAGCTACTTCATTTATATACATTATCTGCGGCTTAATTATATGTAACATGTAAAGAGTTGCTTAGTTCATCCATGAAAAGATTGATGATACCAATCCTACTAACGGCAATAATAATTTCAAAGGACATGAGAAAATGGAAGTGGCTGAATGTCTGAAATGATAAGGGATTAAATTTTTAGCCTAATAATCTTAAAACAATAAGATTAGTCATTATAACCATAAATTTGAAATGAAAACTGAACCAAAGTCAACAAAAAAAGCGTTGTTTGGATTTAATAAAGATGAGGTCAAGCAAACATAACCGAGAAATGCAAGTAAGGTAGTTGGAGCAGCTAATCAACTATCTTGTCAGTGGCAAGTGAACCAGAATTTCGTTTTATGCATACAAGGTGGGGATTTCGAACGCCAAATAGCCTCTGATTCTACGTTAAAAAATTTTCTTACTTTGGTAGGCTATAGATTCATAACTTATAATATAATAATCTTATTTTCATAAGGTTAACCGAAGAGTAACGACCTAATTTTTAGACGGATGATGCATTTAGCATCTTAAAAATATCATCAGTTTTATAACGGTCAACCAAATGTTCAGATGAACTAAAACTTGTTTTTCACCCCAAATATCAGTCTAACAAATAAACCAATGACAACATAATAAAAATAAGTATTTAATTACCAATGATTGTCAAAGTCTCATGATAACGAATATCAATAAAAGTAACTTACTTCAATCACGTTACTTCCAGCTTGAACATGCCAGTTGTTTGGATCTAAAAGGCTGAAATGTAAATAATCGCTTTTGGTTGAAAAGGATAAATTCAAGCTAACAATCTTATCTGATTTTAAATGCCTAAATAGAATTTGTAAATCCAAATAGCAATTCAGAATATTAAGGTTTGTCTAGATCTTCTGATTCAAGCACAATTCATAATACTAGAAAACTATTGAATAAGAAGCTGAAGTGGACATCTGTCACATAATAGTTGAATACTTCCCATTAATGCCCCTGCCTACCCAACTAACAGTTAATCTCTATGCCTTGAGCTTTCGTGCATAACGTGTTACCATTATATCTGTCCGTTAACGTTCATTCAACACTAATGTTTCGTGGAAATTGATACGATTATCAAATCAGTAAATTTTCTGTTAATCAGATTAATCAGAAATGTCTTTGATTATTGAATAAAGGCAAAGTGAATTCTGGGAAGAAAATTTTCTTTTCAACGAAGTCATTCATATTTGTATGTCAATGTGCATCTATAAATTTACTTGTTCCTGTGTGGCAGGTTACATTGGCTACAGAGAGCGAACACCTTCCGAACACATCTCAGAACATTACCGAGCGTAGCTCTTAAAAGGAGAATGCAAAATAGTCACCATTTCAACCCAAAAGCACTTAATCAACTCTGAACTCGTCACTCCAAAGGAGTCTTCCTTCAGAATAATGTACACAAACAAAGAAACTGAAATGAAGGGAGGCCAAATCAAAAACGTATGTACAGCTGAGCCGTTTGCAATCCACCAATTCAAACTCGGACTCTTCATGCAAAAACCATAGGTCCAACCCTCCATTCTTTTTTGAACCTAACTCCCTTCTGTATTTTTTTTCTTCAAAATCATTGTTTTGTAATTTTAAGCCTTAATAAGTTGTCATTATGCTTTAATAAACTTTTCATAATTTTTGTTTAGTTTCACTATTATAACAGTTATGTTTTTCATTTTTTTCCATATCTACCAAGAGGTCAATTATCTTTCATAATTCTGACCTCTAAATTACTTTCATCTTCCTATTCTTCTCTAACCTCTTCATTATTACGTAACCTCATTTCATATTCAAAGTCATGAATCACTATGTGATGTAATATTTTCTATCTTTCTATAAGCAAATATTTACCATACAACTACAAGTGTGAATGTACAGCATAAGTTAATGATTACGTTGCAAAGAAGAAATTTCTTTCCAGAATTCTCTTTATTTTTATTCAATGATACAATGAGTTGTCTTAATTGTTTTAAGATGTCTCTAAACTCAAAGAAACGTTTTTCAAATGTATTACCATATTTTTACCACATTCTGCCTAAGTGTAACTAAAGAAGTTTACGACGTCTACAACAGAATTTCTTCTTTTTCCTTTTGTATGTCATTTGAATTTCAATTAAAGTGAAAATTGTTAACATCGAACATACTGAATTATTCATAAGGTAAATGCCTTCTCTATTTGTTGAATAAAAGTATACAATTTGAATAAAGTAGTTTACCATAAAATTGCTTTCAAACTTATAATTACTGGGATTTTCTCCATGATCCAGCCCAAAAACAATGAGCAGCAGTAAGTAACCAACGATCTCGTATAAATGTTGATCCACAATATGTGATTTGTTTGAATACAGGATTTGTACCTTTTATAGATACAGCCCATGGGTATTCTAATTTTTCTGCTTTTTGACCATTAATTACACGTTTTTGTATTTGTAATGGACTGAATAGATTATGAACTGAAAATTCAACATATAGATATTTGAATCACTTACATGAATATTTAGTAATTTCTAAAAATGTACTAATCACATATAACATTATGTATACTTATCTTGTCTTAACCACCTACCACATCAAATATTTCTTAAAGGAATCGCTAATCATTAGTTAACTTACGAGTTGTCCTTTTCTCACTTCGGTTCAGATTCCATAACAAGTGTTTGAAATCTTTTTTATATGCATTGGACTATTAACTGAACTAGACTTAGACATTAATACACATTTATAATAAGTGGATATATATATATATACCCAGCTAATCTTGTCAAGAATCCCTTACAGATTTTATGTCATTTTCAAGCTAAACATCAACTTACTCTCCTCAATTTATTACGTTAAATCATCTCCCATTGTAAGACTTGTTGATTTCATTCAGTATGTTACTGTAAATATAATCACCTTAGCTTAGATCTTACTATATGTTTAACAGTTTATACATGTGTAGCCACGTACATGTACCAAAACGAGTAAAGAAACAAATAAAATTACGAATAAACAAAAGCAGATAATAAACATCAATCTTCTTGTATTACTAAACACACAGTTGAAATAGGTTATAAGATTGATTTAAACTTAATCTTCATGGTTTCGTGTACAAGTTATCTAGGCCGTATACCGAAGTTTATTGAAACATAGGTCATTCGAAAATGAAAACTACTGTTATATATTCGAAAACGATTTGCACTCACCTCAAGCCTACTTAAGTAATATTGCTCAATTATCCAGCGTGATGAATTCCACACTGTTTTGCATCATATTTTCTATTCTATAATTCTATTAACACTTGTGTTAATTAAATTTGAAGAAATGGTTTAAATGAATTTACAAAACGTCAGAAATGCAAATTTCTACTCATTGAGATATCACAAATATCTCATTATTATACAATTAGCATTCCAACCAATGCACAATATACTTGAAATTATCAAGTTAAAATTCCATATTGAAACTTTATAATCTTTCTTTTGTTTTACATTTTATTTGCTTAATTCACCATTTATATTTCCAAGTATAAATGGTCTTAACTACTATCCATCTAATCGAATTGTTCAAAATGTATTTTGTTAAGCTCTGATATTCTTCACTTGTTGTAACATTATTGAAATCCACATAGTTTACAGTGCCTATCATCAAAATGATATCCTGATAGATCATATTATCAGTCTTTAAATGTCTCTAACTCATAATATATAAAACAATAGGATTTAATACGATTACTTATGAACATATTCATATATTATTGTTAACTTACCTAAAATTATTTCACATGTAAATATGATATACACAGGAAAAATCCTCATATTTATCACTAACAATTAATCTTTATTAAAGTAACCGAATGAAATGAATTCACATTAACTGAATTCAGTAAAGATAAGCGATAATGAAAAATACACATATATATAACATTCAGTTTAATGTAAATCATATTCTGTGCAAAAAGGACATACACCATTAAATATGTTCTCCCTTTTTTTTTCTTTTTCTCTTTCTTGACTTTATCAAATAAATAATAAACAAAAAAAATTCTAACAAGAGTAGGTCTGATAGTGTTAACTAATAAATATCAATGAAAAAAACAACAAAAATTGGTTCAGGTTAAATTTATCATGAGAAAGAGAAGGAGAGAGACACAGAGAGAGAGAGAGAGGGGGGGAAAGTAACAGATTTGATTTCAAAATTATACCCAAACAAATAAACAATAAACAAAAACAAAAGAAAATATTACCCAAAAAATACATGGTAACCAATTCCATTTTAGTAATTAACCACATAGATTACAAGGTTGAATGTATAAATATTAGAAGTACATGTCTATATACATATGAATGTTGTTTACAATATATTCTTCCATATAAAACATTAAAAATCAGTCTGTAAATCACTGAAATTTAATTTATCACTAAAATCATTAAGAAAGTAACAATTCTGGTGAAAATTCATTGCTTTTTTTTTCTAAAATCATCTTTAATTTATGGATGGCTAAAATTAGATTATTGTTTCTGTATGTATTTGGAAATCATTTGGACATACAGAATTTTACTTTTTTTTTAAAATTTGAGAATAGTTTCTAGATTGTGTTTGAGAATTTCCATAGTACTCGACAGCTTATTTTCAAGGAATATACAGAAAGGTTTGTGGTAAGTTATGCTCTAACACTTCAATGATTGTTGTGGTTTTTTCAATGAAAATACATCAATGCTGATTCGAACAATATGTCGTTGATCAATAAGGATCCATTTGAGAAGATATTCGATAATTTTCAAGCTGTTTTTTTGGTGAATTCAGTTCATTTTTAAATGGAATTCATCAATTTAAAGTAGATATACTTTTGTAAAAGTATTTTAGATAATTTTTAATACTAAGAGAATCAAGTATATGCAAAAAAACATCTACATGAAAATAATGTGAACTAGAGTTTCCATTTATTTTTTATCAAACGTATGTCATAAAGGAATAATGTATTCATGGAACGTCATGAGAGTTGCGAAACAGGGAATTCGTCGGTTAGTTTAGTAAACTTTATTAGCTGTTCATTTCATAAGTATTCTAATCAACTAAATGATTGCAGTCTATTGTAGACAAAGACGTGTTTCTCATCAGCAGAATGTACGCTGTTCTATCAAACTGCACAATAAATCCAATCTTCATTTCTGAGAAATTAGTCAAAAGATGTTAGGTTCGTGACTCGTTTGAATAAATTGGCCTTATATCACAGTTTCTCCTTACTTCCTTTTTAACATTTTGGTTATCAATTGACCGGGTAATGTACAGTTTAATGAATAAATCAACCCTCCTTAAACGTAATTAAACGCTTGTGAATTTCAGCAAGTCGAGAATAAAGTTTGATGAGGTTGTCTGTACATTCTGTAAACCTCATGATGTGAAACGAAAGATTCTACAAGATTATTTGTTAGCTACTTAAATGAAATATTTGAAAGACCAACTGATGACTGCTACCCATGCAAGTAATAATTTCATGTTTCTTGTTACCTGTCATCTCAGTAGTGACCACTTCATTCTTACGAAAAATTATAACTTAACATTATGTAATTATTCTTATTATCAATGCAGCCACGACAGCATTTTCCAGTTTTGTATAATGGTCAGGGTAGTGTACGGCAAACAAGCGCAAAATGCACTTATAGGATGGGAATCTCATGGACCAAGGATCATCAAAGTCTCGTTCAAAACAAAGAAAGAGGGCATTTCAGTGAACATCATCCAATGCTATGCGCCTACCAACGACTACAATGAAGAAGTTAAAGATCAATTATACAATAGGCTGCAGTCAATCGTCGAGAAGTGCCCAACAAAGGACCTGACCATTCTGATGGGAGATTTCAACGCCAAGGTTGGAACGGACAACACTGGATATGGAGACATCATGGGACGACAAGGAATGGGAGAAAGAAACGAAAATGGTGAGAGATTTGCAAATTTATGTGCCTTCAATAAGCTGGTCATAGGCGGCACCATATTCCCACATAAACGCATACACAAAACCACATGGACTTCACCGGATCAATCTACACAAAACCAAATCGACCATATTTGCATCAACAAAACGTTCAGGAGGACTATAGAGGACGTGAGAACCAAGAGAGGAGCTGATACAGCATCAGATCATCACTTGCTGGTCGCCAATATGAAATTGAAACTCAAGAAGCACTGGGCAATGAGGCGGACAATATCACAAAAGTTCAATACGGCCTTTCTTCAGGACACTAACAAACTCAACAAATTCAAGATAGTCCTCAGCAATAAGTTCCAGGCCTTTCATGATCTACTCAATGGAGAAGGAACTACTGTGGAGAGTAACTGGAAGGGGATCAAAGAGGCAATCACTTCAACATGTCATAATGTCCTGGGTCACAAGAAGCACCATCACAAGGAATGGATCACTGTTGATACACTGGATAAGATTCAAGAAAAAAGAAACAAGAAGGCAGCGATCAGTACCAGCCGAACAAGAGCAGAAAAAGCCAAGGCACAAGCTGAATACACGGAAATAAACAAACAAGTGAAGAGGAGAATCAGAAGCGATAAACGCAAATATGTGGAAGATTTAGCAACGACGGCGGAAAAGGCTGCAAGAGAAGGAAACATGAGACAATTGTATGACACGACAAAGAAACTCTCTGGAAATCGCCGCAAAGCAGAACGACCAGTGAAAAGCAAGGAAGGCGAGGTAGTCACCAACATTGAAAAGCAACAAAACAGGTGGGTAGAACACTTCAAAGAACTCTTGAATCGACCAGCCCCACTGAACCCACCCAACATCGAAGCAGCACCCACGGACCTCCCAATCAATGTTGGCCCACCAACAATTGAAGAAATCAGCATGACCATCAGACAAATCGAGAGTGGCAAAGCAGCAGGACCAGACAACATCCCAGCAGAGGCACTAAAAGCAGACGTAGCGGCAACTGCAAGGATACTCCACATTCTCGTCAATAAGATTTAGGATGAGGAACAAGTACCAACAGACTAGAAAGAAGGACTTCTGATCAAAATGCCGAAGAAAGGCGATCTCAGCAAGTGTTATAACTACAGGGGCATCACTCTTCTCTCAATACCGGGAAAAGTCTTCAACAGGGTATTGTTAAACAGGATGAAGGACTACGTATATGCCCAACTTCGTGACCAACAGGCAGGATTCCGTAAGGATAGATCCTGTACAGACGAAATCGCAACTCTACGGATCATTGTGGAACAATCAATTGAATGGAATTCATCAATCTACATCAACTTCATTGACTACGAAAAGGCATTTGACGGCGTGGACAGAACAACACTATGGAAACTTCTTCGACACTACGGCGTGCCTCAGAAGATAGTCAATATCATACAGAACTCATATGATGGATTACACTGCAAAATTGTGCATGGAGGACAGTTGACGAAGTCGTTCGAAGTGAAGACCGGTGACAGGCAAGGTTGCTTACTCTCGACCTTCCTCTTTCTCCTGGTGATCGACTGGATCATGAAGACGTCAACGTCTGAAGGGAAGCGCGGGATACAATGGACATCTAAGATGCAGTTGGATGATCTAGACTTCGCAGATGATCCGGCCCTTCTATCCCAAACGCAATAACAAATGCAGGAGAAGACAAACAGTGTGGCAGCAGCCTCAGCAGCAATAGGTCTCAATATACACAAAGGGAAAAGCAAGGTTCTCCGATACAACACAGAATGCACAAATCCAATCACAATTGACGGAGAAGATTTGGAAGATGTAAAAACCTTTACGTATTTGGGCAGCATCATTGATGAACAGGGTGGATCTGATGCAGATGTGAAGGCGCGGATCGGCAAAGCAAGAGCAGCATATTTACAACTGAAGAACATCTGGAGCTCAAAGCAACTGTCAACCAACACCAAGGTCAGGATTTTCAATACAAATGTCAAGACAGTTTTACTGTATGGGGCAGAAACCTGAAGAACTACAAAAGCCATCATCCAGAAAATACAGGTGTTCATTAACAGTTGTCTACGCAAAATACTTCGGATCCGTTGGCCGGACACTATTAGCAACAATGTACTATGGGAGAGAACAAACCAGATCCCAGCGGAGGAAGAAATCAGGAAGAAGCGCTGGAAGTGGATAGGACACAAATTGAGGAAAGCACCCAACTGCGTCACAGGACAAGCCCTCACATGGAATCCTGAAGGTCAAAGGAAAAGAGGAAGACCAAAGAACACATTACGCCGAGTATTGGAGATAGACATGAGAAAAATGAACAAGAATTGGATGGAACTAGAAAAGAAGGCCCAGGACAGAGTGGTTTGGAGAAAGCTGGTTGGCGGTCTATGCTCCATTGGGAGTAACAAGCGTAAGTAAGTAAGTAAGTAAGTAGTGTACGGCATGGTTTTGTGCTATGAAAGAAAGTTGTACAGGACAGATCTATGCTACACTTTTACAACTCCCTGTTTAAAGAACTGCATTTGGTGCAACACAGTGGCATGAGACGCCACCAGGCATGGCTCAGAGTAGAAGCTGGTGGCAATCCCACTGAAACTTTCCTCCGCTTTCTTCATAAAAAAGACCTTAAACTTTTTAACTGAAAGTAATATTTCTGAATTTCTTCTCTTATTAGAATTATTATTTCACTCTCAGAGACTAATTTGTCTTCGTTTTCACTCTCTTTTTCGCTACTCAATCTCTGTTCTCGATCTCTTCAAAACCTCAGTGTTACTGTGTGATGCATATGTGATTGGTGCCTCCTTGTACGAATATTTACGCGTTCAAATGAATAAATACATAATAAAATGACCTTTTGAAATCTTAACTTTATTATAACGTCTGACTTTCAAAAAAGACAATCAACTGTTGTGTCACACTTATTCTTATCTCATCCACAACCAAAAACGGTCAATGAATAATTCCGTACTAACACAAGTCTATGATATATGAACTATGCGAAATCAATTGTCAACTAAGAACAGCAAATTTGTGTAGGGCGGTAATTTTTTAAACCGAGATCATACGGTTTGTGAACTAGATATTACTTGACTTTGATTGAATATTGAGATTTAACAATTCAAATCTGAATTGTCAACTAGTAACTGCGATCGGTTATAAACTGATGAAATTTCTGAATGTGCTAAACGATTACTGTTTCGTATTCACTTTATTTATATTTCATCTGAACGATAAATGTAGGTTGAATAGCGCTTCAGCACTCAGATACCTCGACAAAATGGTGATTTTTGAATACCTAAATCACGAAAAAGTCTAGTATAAGAAATCCGAGGATTACGTGAATAAGATGACGAAAGTAAATTTTAGAAGCCCCATCCAAATACCACTTTGACGATTGAAAAGGAAATTTTTCGGGTCTGAAAAAGACATTTTCGGTCGATTCGTTTTAAAAAAATACTATTTAAATAAACAAAACTACCTGAATTAGTAAAAAATAAGCATAATCTGTTTAAAGATGTATGATTACATGCATAAATGATTTGTTCAACACATAGTTTATTTTCTTATATCACATTAGTAGTGTTTCTAGAATCCCTTCACACAGAAAGTAACCAGTGCAGCAGTAAAGACGTTTTGAAACTAATATGCAGTTCACATGTTAGAAATAAAACCATGTTTTCACTCGGCATCAAGTTTTATGCACATGGTAGACTGACCTCATTAGCATGAATTTGATGTTACTTAGGTTGCGAAACGCGAACATTTCGTAATTCTTTTATGATGATTTTAACAACTAAATAGGAGACGAGCAGTCAGTGAAAGGTGGGATTCATGTTAATCTACTGATTATTATGTGCGATAGAAACTCATCGAATTCTTTAACTACAATGGTATCGTAGATTCTTTGTTTATTTGTTGATTACGTTTTACAGAAGTTCCTTTTTTTCTCATCAAGGTCTAACCTTAGCGATGAAGCCAGGACAACCTTTAATTTATAGAATTCCGTAATTGAAAATATGTTCTGAGATCTCTTTTAAAAAGTAATACTCTAAAAACAAAATCCTGAACTTGACTAACAAGAATTATTTCTTAAATGAACGGATAGGCTTTTAGGTGTAATTTTTTATACAGGAATATGTCTACTTAATTTATGCATTTGGTGGTATAATTATAAACCAAAAAATATTATCGCTGTGAAGTTAACCTTAAACTAGTATTGATTTGTGAGTTGCAGATCCTTCGGTGGTAATATCTTCTATGGATATAAATGATACATGACGTGCTTGAAGATAACGTAACATACTCATCTGATTTGAATGGGAATGCACAAAATGCATGCGAAACTCTAGATTTTGATCGTGAACCAACTAACTTACGATTGTCACCTCACGTCGTGTGGAAGCATAGACCGCCCACCAGCGTTCTTCATCCAACTCTATCCTAGGCGATTCCGTCCAGCTGTTTCCAGTTGCCATTCACACTTTTGCTTTCTGCTTGTAATTCTCGACTCCAAGTGTGGCTCAGTCTTTATCTTTTTCGTTTACATTAAGGATTTTAAGTCAAGGCTTGCTTAAATATGTGGTCTGATGATTTACAAAATGTGTCTCCTATCCATTCCCAACGTCTTTTATTAATTTACTCTTCATTTGCAAGCAGATTTGTTGCTGATGTTTTCCATTCAACGGACGTTGAGTATCATATATAAACAATTGCATATAAACACCTTTACTTTTTATTAATTGTTGCATTAGTTCTTTAAGTTTCAGCTCCGTATGGTAGAATTGTTTTAAAATGTTTTGTGAAGATTATGAATTTGATGTTGGCTTACAGATATCTATTTTAATTTCCATATGTTCTTCAACTGTAGGAATGTGGTGCGTGTGGGATAGATTAGCGAGGTCATCTTTAAAGTCCAGATCATCATACTGAATCGAATTTTTTCATCTTGCTTCCCCTCTCATGTAGAGGTCTTCGTAATCCAGTCAACCTCCAAAAGAAAAAGGAAAGGAAAAGAGTAATCAGCCTTGTCAGACAACATTCGTCACTCGAAATGGATCTATGAGTCGTCCACCGTGAACCACTTTGGAGTGTAGTCCATCACATACATTTCCAATGAGGTTGACGGTTTTCTTCGGCGAACTGCAGTGTCTAAATAAGTTCCACAAGGTTATCTATTAGTTGCTACTGAAAGCCTTTTCATAATCACGCACATTGGTGCATAGTGACGCCTTCCATTCAGTTGATTGTGCAACGATGGTTCACAGTGTCACGATTTGGTCTGAGAACAATTGAGTCTTATGGAATCCAGCAACCGCACCAGAATTGTACCATTACTAGAATTTCTAGACATACAGCATCATTGTGGTTGCAGTTCAACGGCGTCCATTTAAGCTGTCAACCATATGTAGAAAAATTCGAATACCTTACTTCTACCTGACGTTTGTGTTGTTGATGTTGTCCAGATGAACAATAAAAACTTCACAATAGAGCCGTTCTAGTCAGAGAACCAATCCCTACTAACAGCATCCACATGAGATAAACATCATCTCAATCATCTAAAAATATGGGCATACTTATAAGTCTGTTGACTATCATTGAAATTTGGAAGCCTTTGAAAACAGACTACTTAAGATAGAAAGTAAGTATTCATATATTTAGAGTTAACGACATAGCCAGTCAATTTCCTAGAAGTCCACGTAATGATTTCAGATAGTTTGAAATATTCTCATCCTCTTTCTGGCCTCTGGAAAACTTGTCGAATGGTTCTTCAGGTGTACCGACTTTCTGCGTTTCTACACCATCAGGAATAATAAATATTAGAAGTGACTTCATTCCATTTCATTTGTGATCAGTCTTGCACTAGATCAATTTAGCTTCTCAGCCTGTCGAGTGGAGTCTGATTATCAACATATGTTTCAAACTACATAGATTGTGTCATGGAGAAACATCTATGGATTTATCATCGATCCTCTGCATTTGTACTGTCAATTGATAATTGCCAATATATATCCGGATTATTGCTGCGGCGTTTTCGGCAAACGGATAGGAGATAAATGAAAAATTGCTCAAGAAACTGACGCGATTCGATATAAGACAACGAACTTCAACATCATTGACTATGTGTTAGAAACTTCATTGGATGGTTTAGTTTAATTTGAGATTAGAAAAAAAGTTATTCGATTCAATTGTGAAATGGTTATTCATTCTTGTTTTTGAAATTTACCAGATGTTTTTAACACAGCTCAACATTTAACTGCAGTCCTTCCATCACTAGACTTCACCAGATATTACTATTGGAATATCGTTGTACGTTAATCGGTTGTCTGTGAATCAATTTCACTAGCAGTATTACAAATTTCCATTTTATCCGACCTAATTTATCGGAATTATTTTTCATATACTTTTAAAGAACCATATTTCGTTGATTAACAAAGACAATTTTGTTCATACTCGAGGTTTTTTACTTCACATTATGAATATCAAACATTTAGAATCGAATCCCACAACAAAATTGTTCTACGATCAGTGCTATATAAATAAATATAAATATCCAACTAAAGTTATTACGAGTTACTACAAGCAAATATTTAAAGTACTAGTGTGGATATGGAATAAAATATAAATGTCCCAAGGCTTAGTAGAATAAAAAGTATCAATGACAACAACGACGGAAGTTAAAAGAATCATCTCGTATAGTTCATGAGTGGTTAATTGGTTGGTCTTCATCATCTATGATAAATAGGTAAATACTGGGATATTTTCATTCAACCACCGAACAATAATGTCAGAATAGTTTTCAGTCCATTTCAATTTTTCTCTGGATATCTGAATTAAATAATCGATCGTCTTTCGAAGTTCAGGGTCTATCTGATGATTTGCTTCTGTTACATGGATCTACAAAGATAAAGAAGTCATTTTATGTACATTTTATGTGGAGCTAGTACATAAACTTATGCAGCATAATAATAAGCGTTTGATTTATTAAAAACATTTTGTCAGTTATTTTGGAAATTTCGCGTAGATTCTGCACATATTCCTTTATACGTTAGAATTGCTAAAGAGGGTTTGCAGATTAAAATTTCAATTGTACTTTGCAAGGAACTTTTCAGGTGGAGAACGCAATTGAAACAATATGATTTGTTTCCGGAGAATATTTGTAGCCATATATCATGACTGAGTTTGTTTAAATACAGTGTGTATGAAAAATGAGAGGTTGTATAATTGTCGAGTTAGTTCTCTTAAATTACGAAACGTACACTTGGTGATCGCAAGATTCATTATCAGGACTTAGTGTAGAAATGGAACAAGAAACGCGTATTGTGTAATTAGATCGTATCATTCTCACTCTACAGTTTACATATAAGTATTACCACTAACTCCTATCAGAATAGCAAGATGATTCCTGTTATCTGGCTCCTGATACTGATCGCATTTTTGACAACATACTAAAGTGTAGTAACTGGTATGAGTAGTTTCACACCGTGTTGATTTTCACTTGACGTTAGAGTTCAAATCATTTAGCGATAATATCTCGGGCCGCAGATTGCAGAAATACATATTTGACGAATCCTATCTAAAACGAAAGTTAGATTTACGGCACCCTACAAACCACATTCAACCACTCCATGTTATTGTTTTCTTTTTATTCAGTTTAGTTTCATTGAAAATGTTTACGATTAATGGAGTGTGTGCTACCAAACATTAACAAAATTGTCTAGATGATCACATTCGAAAAAGTAAATTACAGAATGATAGTATATGTGAATGTGGGACAAAACAAGGCAATATGTGTAAGCTTATGGAAAATAGATAGGCTCACCACTGACCTTTTCATGATTTGTTCCACTAAACACTGAGTAAGGATACCCAGTTAGTGTTTTTGTTAATAATTTCGTAAAGTCTCTGTGAAGTAAAATTAAAAAGCGAAATGCTTTTGGTTAGTTTCCATTAATGACTGAGTACGAGGTCGAGCTAACTGGACAATCAAAATATTTCTATTCTGAAATAAACGAATGACCTAAGCAAATCATCATGATGAGGTAAGTAGAAATTATAAGGTAATTAATTCAGAAATACAAAACTGATAGAATCACATTATAAATATATATATATATATATATATATATATATATATATATATATATATATATATATATATATCAAGCAGCTGCTGACTATACGAAATAAGTGAACGTCAGTTGACTAACAGCAATAATTACAGCCGACAAAGGTGCCTGTCAATTGTTCAATTCCCACAGATGTTTTAATGCTGATATAAAATTTGTAGAACAGCTTTATGTGTTACCGATGACATCGAACATTATGCTTGTTCAAAAGGACACGTCAGCATATTTCTGTCAGAACGACTACTTACATCAAAACAGTAGATACGAGTAAAAAAAAGATGAAATGTGTTATTTAATGTAGTTTACTGGTCCTTGTACTAACTTTCTATTGTTATGTTAATCAAATTAAAATAACATTTGTTGAAACATTTCTATGAAAGAAATTACTATGTTCATCAAAAAAGGTTGAGATCTTCGATAGAATTTTCCATATGTGGAAGCATGAGGGAAAAAGGTCTTCAAAATCACCTTGATTACAGACTGACATTCCAAGATGTTGGTATTCAGTTTATCGCCTACATATAACGTATACTATACGAATTCACGTCTGAAGTTAACAGGCACCATCTACCTCATGACATTAATATGACATCGGTTCCTCACTGTCAATAGAAATGTAAACTCACTTATGTTCAACAAGATTTTGTACATCACTCAGGTGATCCCATAAAAGTTGGTTACCAACTGGAGACTCTGAGAAATAGTCAAGCGTAAACCAGAAGTTCTTGTTCTCTCTTACCCGCCTTAAGTACCTGATGAAAAGATGGAGGAAATGTTTAGCTGAGTAGGTGTGGTGTGCTAACTTAATCATATGAACATTTACATCTGTAGAATAAAAGGATTTGAGGGCCAAAATATATTATTGTAGTGAACAAGAACACCAGTGAGGACAATCGAATGTAATCAACACAAAATTACAGGACTTGTTAATAAAATCTAGCAATCATAAGGTAAATGCCAGAACACTCAACTCGACGCCATTTCTCCGCACCGGACTGCCCAAACTAGCGATTCAGCTCACGAACCGCATCGGACTTCGCAGAACAGCACCCTTCCCCTCCTGGCTGGCGGCGACACCAAATGTAGTGAACAAGAACACCAGTGAGGACAATCGAATATATTAAACACAAAATTACAGGACTTGTTAATAAAATCTAGCAATCATAAAGTAAATGCTTAATTTGCAATTGTCTCAAAATGACTCATAATTCATTGTTCTTGCATTTTCATGCAAATTGCACCCTGTTTACATTCTTTACTGTTTAATCCTCTTGTCTCTCTGCTGCCAGAAATTCTGCTCACGACTAACATCATGTACTACTTATGTCAATATAAGTAGCACACACAACAGTATGACCGGTGAGATTTGCAGTTAAAATGCTTGATCTTGTCGACGATTCCTCCTCTTTTACACTGTGAATTGTATCCCGTCGGAGATGTTGTTGATTTATTTGTATGTATTTTAAGCTCGATCTTTTCGACGATGACGAATGTGTCGTGTACATGACGAATCTACATTATCGATGGTTTTTCTTGTAGATATGAAGCCTTCGGTCATCGCGTCATCACTTTGTAATGAGTCTTGAAATCGGTAGTCCCATTGATGACAGTTTCGTTTGCCAATGGACGCTTTTGTTGAATTGAGAAAAATTTGTTCAGTATTAATCGATGGGTTCTACTCGACTTTTGACATTCGTGTACTCTGAGATTTTGTGAGTGCCATATCTTGATAATAATCACGAGGTAATTGTTGATCCATATGTGAAAACTCCACTGATCCTTGTAAATCCGCATGGAGTAAAAGTCAAGATAATTATGATATGAAAGCGAATTAACTGAAGTTGACAATCCAAACCACCAGGGTTTTAATTGGCGGTTCAAATTTGTCGTGTTTAATCGATGGTACTTTATAAATTCCTTTGAAAAATGTGAGTGATGTAGTTTTATGTAGTTTCAACCATAAATTAAAAACATGTCATGTGTCCTTCTTACATTTGAGGGTGAGTTTATGTAAGCTCATGTTATGAACTTTCATTAGGCTTGACAGTGTTTGGTTGTTTAATCGTCATTCGAGGAGTAAAAACATATATCTTTCCAATTGTTCAATTATAGTCATTGTTACATATAATTTTAGAAATTATCATGCAAATTTTGTGAAATCTTCGATTATAACAAACGGATTTAGATTATGCGAACATACTCATTTGCTGATAGTAGTGGGGATTCCAAACATCTAGTCGGGTTACTGTTATCATAAACAGATGTGACAGTGTAATATTGAAGGTAACAGTTTAACTTACTCTTTCATAATTTCTTTATCACGAGAACACGTTAATGCCAACATCTTGTTTTCAGTCTCTTCCTCATTTACAGAATCGTTCAACGTCAGCTGACTTTCTAAAAATTTCCATTCTTGTTGACCACCATGACGAATAGCTGTACAATAAGTAATGAATCTCAAATCAGGTCGTATGCTGTAAAACAAAAGAAATGTGGACAAGAACATTACTTTCATTCGATCGAAATGAAATTTAAGGCAATCAGTCCTTTTTATAAATTTCGATAGAACAATGAGAAAACATTTCGAACAATCTGGTCACACATATACTTGTAAGGGCATTTTTATATGAAAATTAATAAAGGTCAAACAAATAAAAGTACAATTAAGATAACTAAGGGGAGAGAAAGAATAAGAAATTGTCGCGTTATCCCAGGCCACAGAATGACTTAAGGATTACCAAGGTAAATTCGAGGTTACGACAAATTGTTTTTGTACACATAAGGGGGGTTTAAATTTACAAATAGCCAAGGCTTCGATAAACTTAAGAATTCGACCTTGACAATTTCTATACAACTTTCTAAATGCTGTATTAATGTTAATTTTGTGCCCCGTCTCAATTATATGTTTTGCTATCGATGAGCTTGGTTTTCTACCTCCTACAATGATCAGATCATTTGACATTGATTTTGACGCCATTCAGGCACATGTTCATTGACCCTTGATTGCATTGTTCGATTACTCCTCCCTATGTATGTGTGTCCACACAAACATGTAAATTGGTAAATACAATGGGATGTGACGTAATCATTAGTGCGTTGTTTGGATCTATTAGGAATCATGACCTTAGACTTTTCAATCACTACCAACTGAGCAGCAAAATACGTATTCTCGATGGCTGCTTTCAATCTCTGCCTTAAGACTATACTGTTAGATTCGCCTCTATAACTTAGATTGACATAAACGTTTTTCTTTGGCACTGAATAAATTAGAGGTCTTGGCATTAACTGACTTTTGCACCTATTAATAAACTTGAGTGGATAACCATTTGCTATTAATGTGTCAGTCGGTAACTTTTCATCTTTTTCCACCATGTCAGAGGTACATATTCTTCGAGTCCTCTTAATGAGGCAATACAAGAGAGGTCTGGTTAAGTGCCTCTTTCTATGGCCTATGATAACGCGACAATTTCTTATTCTTTCTCTCCCCTTAGTTATTTTAATTGTACTTTTATTTGTTTGACCTTTATTAATTTTCATATAAAAATGCCCTTACAAGTATATGTGTGACCAGATTGTTCGAAATGTATAGCGCTAATACATCATATTTTTCAGACCAACTCCGTTTTCTCATTGTGTTATTGAAATGAAACTATTTCTAGAGATTTATGACTATATGCGTGTAAAGGATGCGAATGTCAAGTATTGTTTACATTTATTTGAAAAAGAAGACGCAATGAAATTTCACGCATGGAAGACAGACAACAGATCAATGGCAAGCAAAGATCGGAATCAAACGAGGCTGCTTATCCGCGTCAATTGATTTGTGACAACAACCATATCTCAGGTGAAGCGGGGAATACATCTAACAGCTTCGACTCACTTAGATATTTCGAATCTGGTAGATGATTCAGCTCTCCTAGATCACACACCAACAACTTCGGGTGAAGACAATCAGTGTAGCAGCAGCCACTTAAACATCAGACCTTAACATTCACAAAGGAAAAAGCAAGATCTTAAACTGAAACCAACCAAATCAAACTTGACAGAGTAGTTTCGGGAGGGGTTGAAACGACCGCTTATCTGAGAAGTATAACCGAGTAGACAGGAGGGTGTAGCGCAGATGCAGAGGAAAGGATCAGGAAAATAACAGCACTACTATTACATCTGAAAACATATAAGTATCAAAATAACTGTCAGCCAACATCAAATTCAGGATCGTCAATACAGACATTGAAGCCGTTGTAGTGTACTGGGCTGAAAATTGCAGAACTGTCATAACCATCATCAAAAAATACATGTTTTCATAAACACTTGTCTGCACAAGACACTCAGTATCAGTTGACCGGATGCCATCAACAGCGACACACCATAGAAGAGAACAAACCAACTTCCATATGAATATGAAGACAGGACAAGACGTTGGATGTGAGTACAACAAGCGTTGTCTATACCATCAGACTGAATCTCGAGATAATCACTCCGAATCCAAATGGCAAGATGCACAGAGGAAGACCAAAGAACATGTTGCGTCGAGAAATCGAGGCATATTTCGAAGGAATGAGAAGCGATCAGCAATGATTGGAAAGGAAGATAAGATCGAACAGTTTGGAGAATCCTATTTGTCAGCCTACACTTTCGTGAGGGGTAACGGATGGAAGTGTATAGGTAATTTATAAAACAATTCCTCATCGGTGTCTCATAACTGGTCAAAAATCTTTCATTCTCCAAATCAGTTATATATATATATATATATATATATATATATTTGTTTTCATGGGAATCAGAAGTCGTGAATATATTTTCATGATAAGTTTATCTTATGCACATGGCGCCAATAACAATACTCATTTTAACATATCGAACGCAAATTAAAATCTGTTGTTCAGAATAGTGTAGAACTACCCAATCAAAAGTTGTTTCGAAGATTTCTCATAAATGAAGGATCTTTTTTTCACACAAGAAAGTTATTGTCGACTGATCGACAAACCCAGGTAACACATCACCCGTCTACTATATACATCAATTTTACAGCTATCCCACTACGCTTACTGACTTATTAGTTCTTTACACTTAGGAAACCATAACATTGACAAACTATTCACGCATTCGTGTCCGACCTCAGAATCAAAAACCTGATCACACAATCAATTTCAAGCTGCGTTTTAAAAATCAGTTCAAATAACATTAAACATAATATAAAGGCTTATTATACGGTAGTCTGTTTTATCATATAAAAATCATTAATTGCATAACTAACGGGTTCGTTTCGGGTTTCGACATCCATTGTCTGAAGAGATCCGTAGTTTTGTTCACACAAAGATGATGTTCAGCTATACAAGCGAGTTTGATCACATTATCGTCAAAACGTCTAAAATGGAGCAAACGGTGTAAGAATATTTAAGTTATAACTTATTAATATATAAGCATTTACATACTTTCTTCTTTTACACTAGTAGGTTTATGATTAGTTGATGGGTAAAAAATTTCATGGATATGCCTGAAGGTGTTTAGATTAGATCAGTTTTTCTTATGGATTCGAAGATTGCTGCGATTCTGTAGCTGAAACGCAATGTATTCACCTTAAATATATTTCTACATATTGCGTTATCCCGAAACCTGTTCTGTTATCTCTTCACGAAAAATCGAATGTCATTAAACTCATCAGTTGGCACAGCATTGACGAGCTGGTGATTTCTGCAGTTTTTGATGATATAAATTTTTCATCTCATTTTAACGGCAAGCTGTAACTGTTAACGATATCTTACTACTATGATATTTCCATATGTTTTACCACATATCAGGATTTTCACCAGCTTAATATATACATTAACATTATTCATTGAAATAGTCCGAAGGAAATTAAGTTTCCCTCTGTCAATGTTCCAGGGTTATTAGTTTTGAGGTAAGATAATAATTGGTGTAACTAGAAATAACTATACATAACGGAACAAATTAATTCGTGATTTTACGTGATAACGGAGAAATTTGATAATACGATTAATCTTAAAACCAATTGACAAACGATAGCATAATTTGGTACTCAAATATAATTTATGTGGCCTTTATTTCTTAAGTTACGGGAGTTTTCACAAGACAGTTGCACCGTCTGAGTTTCCACTATAAAAAATTGAGATGAAAAAGTACAACTTTGAGCACCCGATTAGAACCGTTTATAATGGATGGAATTCAAGCAATCATATTACAACGATGCCCCATTTACAGTCAATTATCGAGTTGAATCGGGCAATAAAAGTGTGTTTCTAATTAAAGGAACGCACAATTTGAAGTGCAACTTAACCAATCACTTATCATTAGATCCTTATAATCATACGCTCCCAGCTCATTATTATGGTCCAGATATTCCACCCCTTTGTAGAAGAATGTCACTTCTCTCGGAAACCGTTACTTTCATCTGTTCATCAAATATTTTTGGCTTAGATAAGCAGTCCCGTCAACAATGCTGCCAATTTCACCATTTCATATTAAACATCTTCCATATAGATTGTTTCGGAACAAAAGTTTTCCGAGATAAAACTGAGTAATTGACTGATATGACAGAGTAAAGACATACGAAATAAAAATATAACTACTCACATCTTTTGAGGATCTTCACCTGTACTAACAAATGACTGACTAGCTGATCGAATTCGGTTATCGACAAGAGTTCGCAAGTATGCTTGGAAAACATCATAATTCTCATTCAGAGCAAACATGCTATTAATGTAGAGCAGCGCTCGACTAGCTGTTATCCATACAATAAACTCATCTTCGCGGTTTAAATATTTTGTCGCGTTCAGGAAAAGGGTATACGGTACGATATCACGACTGACAAGGAGGCCAAAACAAAACAAAATATTAGGCTCAAATGACTTTAATTAGTAACTTGTTCACACATGAGGGTATAGAAATTTACCGTAGAATATTACATGTAAAAATTAACTATAAATACGATTACACAGCTCCCGAAAATGATATCGTCGGAAGAAAAATTTTCTTTTGTGAAGTATCTTCATACTTTTCGAACTACTAGTTTGGGTGTGTGATTGTAGAACATGAAGAGAATTTATTGAGAACAGTATTCTTCGTTTATATGTCGGTGTAATTACTCCAGGAGACATGTTATATTTTCAATCAATATTAAATGAGTAGACAACCGACAGTATTGACAGGTGTTTTCAACAATATAGCGTATGGTGTATGTTAACCCTTTGAGATTATGCTAGCCTATCGCTATATCATCGTAAGGTTTACATAAATATCTGGGAATCTGAATGTAAGAACTTGAGGTTTAACTAATATTTCAGTTTATGTAAACATCTCGTAAACACCAGTTTAAATTGCTTAGTATTCACAACGTCTACGAAATATCTTCATACTTTTCGGACTACTAGTTTGGGTATGTGATTGTAGAACATGAAGAGAATTTATTGAGAAGAGTATTATTCGTTTATATGTCGGTGTAATTACTCCACGTGACATGTTATATTTTCAATCAATACTAAATGAGTGTTAACAGACGTTTTCAACAATGTAGCGTATAGAGTATGTATACTCTTTGAGATGATACTAATCTATCATGTTATTATAGTAGAGTTTACATAATAGCTGGTCATAATTGATACACCAGTTCAGATAAACGTCTTTTTTAACCCCAATTCCATCTGTTTCAGTATTCATTACATTTATGTGTACACCGATTTCAGTTCAACCCACTGCATATATTTTTAATCCAGCCAACTATTCGTTTTTCCAACTAATTTGCTTCTCTTGCAAACTGTTGTGCTAGTTTGCATTTCTGAAAGGATCGGTCTCCGATCTTGGGCGGATATCACTGAGAATCTCCAGGTTCTACAAAGTGTTTCCGCTACGATCAGATGACATACGTTGTCAAATACTCATTGTTTTTACATCTTGAATATTTCTCACAAATTTTTCGTGTTTTTAATTGGTATTTGGAATCAAAGTTATTAACTAGCTTGATATTTTGTAACAGAATAAATATCATCCACAAAAAAATTGGTTTCATTCCACCTCACACTTACTTTGCAAGACTGAATAAATCATTCAATATTTGTGCGCGTGAGAAAACTGGAATAGCCTAGACATAAAGAAATCAGATAAAAATTGAAATGCCTTGTAGAACATCGAATCACAATGTAAAATGCAATCTATAAAATGAATGTGATTTCAAACAAATCATATCTTAGTGTGCGATACGAAGTGTAGAGCTAAAATAACGGATTAATATCCTTGAAGAGAATTTGATTTATCGTGATGTTAAATCGTCGTCTTTGGCAGTCACATATCACTCACCTAACGCGCACATCGAAGCTTTTACAAGCCGATTCGAGGACTGACATAAAGCTAAACAATTATGTGGCAACAAAGCGTACATTTTTAACCTTGCTAATTATTTTGTACTTATTCATGTCACTAAACGCTCTTATTCATATAAAACTTCCATATATGTCTGATCTGCTGTGAATATGGCATGGAATCTAATACTTCCAATCAATTCGTAATTCTACCACTGAACGTCTGCGCATTTGGTATTTTCTCGAGTTACTAAGATGAAATAATTATTTTCATGTTCAGCGGGTTAAATATATATATATATTCGTAATTATAATATTACAGCGTTTCTTGGAAATAATGACAAACTCATAGAATTCAAGATAGATCTCAGCAGCAATCTCCACGTCTTACAAGATCCACTCCAAGAAATTAGACAACTAAGAAGCGAAACTTCAAACAATCGTAAAACCAATACATCCAACGGGTCAGGTGCTCAGCCACTGAATTGTGATGACTTTCACATCACAGGAGAAGCACAGAACAAAAAGGATAGCTCCAATGCACCTAGATATTTTGAAATATTTTGATAGCCTAGCTCTTCCGTATCAATTTCATCAACAAATTCAAGTGAAGACAGACAGTGTATCAGCAGCCTCCACAGCTATAGGCCTCAACATTCACAAGGAAAAAATGAAAACCCACACCTGAAACATGATGAAAATGGACCGAATATCACTGGTTTAAGAAGCTCCGGAAGGTGTGGAAACATTCAGGTATCTGGGAATTATGATCGACCAACTAGAGAGATGTGACGCAGAGGCAAGGATTGGCACGGTGAAGGCACTATTCTTAGAGTTGCACACACTTGAGTTTCAAAACAACTGTCAGCGAACATCAAATTCAGAATCTTCAATACAAGCATCAAGGCAGTTCTATTGTACTAAGCTGAAAATCGGAGAACTACGGCAACCATCATCAAAAAGTACATGTGTTCATAGGCAGTCTTCCACTCAAAATTTCCGATTTATTATACCATTATTTTGAATGCACTTGCATAATTTCTCAAACGTTATTTATGAGAGGGCTAGACACTCAAGTCCACAAAGGTATAACTCCACAGCAGACTAAAGAATCTATGAGTTACAAAAAGGGAACAGTGTTCTATGCCACAAACTGACGAGCCTTTGTCAGAACAACAGACAAAGAATGTGGCCGCAAGGCAGACCGAGAGATAGAAGCCTCTCATGCACAAGGAGACACTCAGCTCCTACCGCATGCTGTTTCCTTCAAACATACTATAAACTGTATATCACAAAGCAAATTTAAACGATCATACTGGTTATTGGTGGCGCCTGCGATAATTAACATAGATCCTAGAAACAATCGTTTTCGTCTAGGACAGAGAGGTCGTCGTTCAGTTCGTAGCAGATACGGTAGCGGAAATCAGAGTAGTAAGCGAAGATGAAAAAACGTTATTATGTTACTAGTGCTAAGAGCGGTGGGCATACGACGGACGAAAGTTGTCCCTAGATTTTGAACGAGGCGCTTCGTACAGCTGGGACGATTTCGTAGCAGGTGAATCAGTTCCCAAAATGGACACAGATTTTTTGTGTACCTGCGATCTGCTAGTGATCTCTCAGCCTCACAGACTTGTAAACGGTAGTCACACGACTTCGACAAGAGAAACGTGAAATCCGTTTCCATGACTCTAGTGATAGATAAAAGCCGCAGTGATCCATGTGAATTACTGTTAGAGGAGGTTATCAAACTCGTGAAAGTAACGTGAAATAAAGTGGGTCTCAAACGTTCCATCCAGCTCGGCCTGGTAGGCGTGGTCATCGTTTGGTGTTGTCATATAACTTTTCTTCATATTAAATATGATTTTCTATTTCTAGGCTAAATGTGTTCTTCATCATATATTGGTAATCGTTACCATACGATGAGTCAGTGTAGACAAGGTTGTGACTTCCACGTAAGACCTTATAGATTAGGCGGTTACATCATGAAAAATCTAAAACTTTAGGATTAGGCCCATTATTAGAGAAGTACTACTATCATAGTAGACCATAATTCTATACATCGTCATACTAGCTCCTCATTGGGTTTTTGTTCTCACCTAGACACTATATTCCAACACATACTTATCGAGATCGTTGGACCACTGACAGTTTCGAATGAATACAAACATATTTTTACATACATTGATAGATTTACACAATGGCCTGTATTGGTACCGATAAATGGAACCTCAGTTGAGTCTGTAACCAAAACCCTAGTCGAGAATTGCATCTCTCAATATGGTGTACCAGCGATTATCACAACCGATAGAGAAATCCTATTCGAAAGTCGACTCTTCCAGCAGCTTAAACACCTCAGAATTAAACGCATCGCGTCATCACTTTGTAATGAGTCTTGAAATCGGTAGTCCCATTGATGACAGTTTCGTTTGCCAATGGACGCTTTTGTTGAATTGAGAAAAATTTGTTCAGTATTAATCGATGGGTTCTACTCGACTTTTGACATTCGTGTACTCTGAGATTTTGTGAGTGCCATATCTTGATAATAATCACGAGGTAATTGTTGATCCATATGTGAAAACTCCACTGATCCTTGTAAATCCGCATGGAGTAAAAGTCAAGATAATTATGATATGAAAGCGAATTAACTGAAGTTGACAATCCAAACCACCAGGGTTTTAATTGGCGGTTCAAATTTGTCGTGTTTAATCGATGGTACTTTATAAATTCCTTTGAAAAATGTGAGTGATGTAGTTTTATGTAGTTTCAACCATAAATTAAAAACATGTCATGTGTCCTTCTTACATTTGAGGGTGAGTTTATGTAAGCTCATGTTATGAACTTTCATTAGGCTTGACAGTGTTTGGTTGTTTAATCGTCATTCGAGGAGTAAAAACATATATCTTTCCAATTGTTCAATTATAGTCATTGTTACATATAATTTTAGAAATTATCATGCAAATTTTGTGAAATCTTCGATTATAACAAACGGATTTAGATTATGTGAATATATTCATTAGTTAATAGGAATGGGGATCGCAAACATCTAGTCGGGTTACTGTTATCAACAACAGATGTGACAGTGTATTACTGAAGCTAACAGGTTAACTTACTCTTTCATAATTTCTTTATCACGAGAACACGTTAATGCCAACATCTTGTTTTCAGTCTCTTCCTCATTTACAGAATCGTTCAACGTCAGCTGACTTTCTAAAAATTTCCATTCTTCATGACCACCATGACGAATAGCTGTACAATAAGTAATGAATCTCAAATCAGGTCGTATGCTGTAAAACAAAAGAAATGTGGACAAGAACATTACTTTCATTCGATTGAAATGAAATCATTTCTTTAGATTTATGACTATATGCGTGTAAGGGATGCGAATGTCAAGTATTGTTTACATTTATTTGAAAAAGAAGACGCAATGAAATTTCACGCGTGGAAGACAGAAAGACAGATCAATTGTAAGCAAAGATCGGAATCAAGCAAAGCTGCTTATCCACGCCATTTGAATTGTGACAACAACAATATCTCAGGTGAAGCGGGGAATACATCTAACAGCTTCGACTCACTTAGATATTTCGAATCTGGTAGATGATTCAGCTCTCCTAGATCACACACCAACAACTTCGGATGAAGACAATCAGTGTAGCAGCAGCCACTTAAACATCAGACCTTAACATTCACAAAGGAAGAAGCAAGATTTTCAACTGAAGCGAACCGAACCACACTTGACAGAGAAGTTTCGGGAGGGGTTGAAACAACCGCTTATCTGGGAAGTATAACCGAGTACATAGGAGGGTGTAGCGTAGATGCAGAGGAAAGGATCAGGAAAATAACAGCACTACTATTACATCTGAAAACATAAGTATCAAAATAACTGTCAGCCAACATCAAATTCAGAACCTTCATTACATATATTGAAACCGTTGTAGTGTACTGGGCTGAAAATTGCAGAACTCTCATAACCATCATCAAAAGGTACATGTTTTCATAAACACTTGTCTGTACAAGACACTCAATATCAACAGCAACATACCAAAAGACAAGAGGTACAGAGGAGGACGAAAGAACACGTTGCGTCGAGAATTCGAGGCATATTTCGAAAGGATGAGAAGCGATCGGCAATGATCGTAAAGTAATATAGGATAGAATAGTTTCTGGAGAATCCTTTTGGTCAGCCAACGATTTCGTGAGGCGTAACGGACGGAAGAGTATAAGTAATTGATAAAATAATTCCTCATCAGTGTCTCATAACTGGTCAATAAACGTCCATTCTTCAAATCACTTTATATATATATTTGTTTTCATGGGAATCAAAAGTTGTAGATATATTTTCATGATGTTATTCTATGCATATGGCGCCAATAACAATACTCATTTTAACATATCGAACGCAAATTAAAATCCCACTATGCTTACTGACTTATTTGTTTTTTACACTCAGGAAACCATAACAATGACAAACTATTCACGCATTCGTGTCCGACCTCAGAATCAAAAACCTGATCACACAATCAATTTCAAGCTGCGTTTTAAAAATCAGTTCAAATAACATTAAACATAATATAAAGGCTTATTATACGGTAGTCTGTTTTATCATATAAAAATCATTAATTGCATAACTAACGGGTTCGTTTCGGGTTTCGACATCCATTGTCTGAAGAGATCCGTAGTTTTGTTCACACAAAGATGATGTTCAGCTATACAAGCGAGTTTGATCACATTATAGTCAAAACGTCTAAAATGGAGCAAACGGTGTAAGAATATTTAAGTTATAACT